CTGTGTTGGTAGAATTAACAATGTTACTCGCCACAGCAACCAACCCAGCTGGCCTGGAGTGCATCATCACACTGCTCTTGGTAGACCAGAAACCTACTGATGCTGCAGGTGTCTCTGCTAGTGTATAAGGTATTACATGCCCAGTACCAGCACTGCACAGATATGCAGCCATCACCCAGCCTTGGGGCAGATGTTTGGAAAGTCGCTTCCCCAAAGTAGTTCCTATGAGGCAAGAGAGAGAATTACTTTCTTTTATACTGTGCTCACCAGGGTAAGATCCCTGAGCAAAGCTTCCTGGGTTCCCAGAAGTAACAGTTCTTTAAATTCATGCCTCATTTACAAATACACGTACACATCTTACCCTGAGAATACATTAAAAGCTGCCAAGGGGTGGACTAAGCTGAGTTCCGGTACTAGCCACCTTGCCATTTCCAGAATCAGCAGTTCTCTCTTTCTCTTTCCAGTATGTTAGGGTGAACTCCCTCCCAGAGCCACTGTTACCCTTTCCTAAAATATGATCTTCAACTGGGACCGTCCAGGTCAACCATAGCTTTATAGCCTCAACTGTCAGCAGGGATTGGAATCTCAGCACCATTTTCCACAGAAGAAATCCTTACCCTGCCTGTAAATTATTATATGAAAATTAATTTTAAAAAAAGATGCCACACAACACACCCTTATTGTCAACATGTGGGGTCCAGCCCAGCCAGGATCCAAACTGAAGAGGGATGGAGGTGGAGGGCTAGGAGAGGAAAGGGTATCTCATCTCCTGTTCTTATCTTTCCTGTTCAAACCTTAGTTCTTGTTCAACCAAAATGCCTGTAACAGAAATCAGAAATAATGACAGCATGAAAAGAGTAAAACTGTGGAATAAGAAATGAGAGACATGCCCGAGACACATTGTTGAAATAACAGAATAGGTTTTATGGATTGATTGACATGTACCACACAAATGAAGAGGAAAAAATTAGGATAATTCTAAAAATTTTAAGTTAGTAGACTAGAAAAATGGTGATTCCATTGGTAGATGAAAATGAATTGTGAAAGAAATAGTTTTGGGTATAAGTAAAACAGTGAATTTAATATCCCGTAGCGGGTCTCATTTCAAAAATATTCTGATTTAATTGGTTCTGGATGTGCCCTCAGCATTGGAACTTTTAAGGCCCCCAAGTCAATTCTAATTTTCAGCCAAGATTGAGAATCACCTGCCTGGAGGAATTTGCATTCAGAAATTCAGACCTTGCAGTCTCAAGAAAGGTAGGGCTGAGGAGATGCAGCTAGTTGAACCCTCGTGGAGTGACAAGGTTGCTGGAAAGAGAGAGAAGAGAGGGAAGATAAATAAGTAAGAGGCAAACACCAGGGAAAGGCCCTCCTCTCAGGGACAGGAGGGAGAAGGAGCAGCAAAGGTAGCAAGGAATGACCAGGTGGTAGAAGGGCAGGAAGATAGAAAACCATGGGCCCTGAGAGTGGAGAGACTTCAAACTGGAAGGGGGTGTCTCAGGGAGGGGTCAGGCCACAGCTTTAAATGCCACGATGAGGTTGCCACCCCAATAACTCTCATCACTGCCGACATATCATCATCTAGGTAAACTATTTGACTAACACTCTAGCTCTACAGTTTCTCCTGACTCTTTCTATTTGATTTATTCTTCCTGGGCTGGAAAGATGTGACATGAGGGTTAACACCAAAAGAAAGAATTATATGCCCAAAGCCCACAAAACTCTGTTATCTGCTTATCTGCCACTCTCAGACGTCTGCATTTCCCTACTGGTAAGATGCAGAAGTTATGAATTTCTTGATAGCCATTTTAATCCTCTAAGATTTAGGATAAGGAGACCCTAAAAAATTAATTTTTGGTTGCCATTTGGTGCCCACCTGGTCCAACTCACAAAGGTTCACATAGCAGATGGCTCAGGAAGGATGTGAAATTGCTCTTTGAACTGAGGGGCAATGTCATTGGCCTCTTCAAAGTATTAGTAAAAGTGAGATTAACCAAAACTTGAAAGGCCACTGGTATATTTCCAAATTTTCAGAGCCTGTGGTGGTCTTGGTGAGTCAGGCAACTGAGAGCTGTCCATAGCAGTGTCCCACAGAGCCACCCAACACAGCAATTCATTTCAAAATACAAAGAACCTGTTGCATTTTTGGGCACTTGGCAAATAAATGTGCATGACAGACACAGTCCCTGCCCCTGCAGAGCGTTCAAGCTAGTGAGAAAAACAATCAAATGAGTAACAAAGATAAGTTCCAGGGTGGAGGAAGCAACTGGCCTAAGCATTGAACTGAATCAGGGTTGGGGGAGAAAGCTTCAGGAAATCTTTTCTCGAGAAATAGACTTTGAAGCTGAGATTTGAAGCATGAGTAAGATTCAGCCAGACACAGGGCAAAGAGAAGCAGGTTCCAGGAAACAAAAAGGTCAGCAAAGACAACAGCAGGTGTGAAAGCCAAGAAACTGCAGAGCTCAGTTCATTCAAGAAACAAAGGGGTTCAATATGGAGGGACCGCAGATCTACGGATGGAGGGTGGGCACGGCCAGGCCAGGTCGGCTGGGGTAAGCAGCTAGGATCCTGGGATTCACTGCAGACAGGCAAGGGCTGTGGACAGAGACTGCTTTTAGAAAGATTACCGGATTATTGGTGGCTTGCAGTAGGAGAAGTGGGTTGAAAGGAGCAAGAAAGCCTAGTTGGTAGACAGTGACAGAAACCCAGATGGAATGAAGGAGGCTGAAGGAAGATTGTGAAATGGGGGGACTGAGGAAACGTTTATAAGGAAGTTTAGTATAGATATGATTTCATGGGCTCAAATGTGGGGGCAAGATTGAAGGGAGGGCTGACATTGACTGAAATAGAAGACGTGTTGAATGCAAAGTTTCCTCCCTCCCTCCCTCCCTCCCTCCTCCCTCCTTCTCTCCTTCCCTCCCTCCCTCCCTTCCTTCCTGCCTTCCTTTCTTTCTTCTTCGTTCCCCTCTCTCTTCCCACCTTCCCCTCATATTCAGGCAAGCCATAAAGAAGTGATGTCAACTAACAGTGTGACTCTGTCCTCACTCATGCCTCTCTGCTGAGTACCCTTGGTAAATTACTGTCATCTTGCCTCATACTCTGTATGTCTGTTACTTTCCCACTATCAGGTACCACACCTATAACTTTCCTTGCACTTTCTCTATGAAAGTACACAATTCATTAGCTTACGTCGGGAACTTTCCTTTACAAACCTTATGCTGAAGGAAACAAACATGAAGTAAACAGGAATTTTCCAAGCCTCTGGAGGGATGTCCTTATTTATAGACTATCTTACATAAATGTGCATGGGAATTTAGAAGCTCTAACTTCAAGTATATAAAGTAAACAAAGTGAACTAAGTGATGCAACTTGTTTGGAGTATATTCAGAACTCCTCACTGACTCCAAACTCCTAGCCCTATCTACTTGAAACTATTTATTTTCTATGCCATATACCTTCTTTGTCCTGCCATGAGAAGTCGCCATGCAGGTAAGAATCACTGTGGGTATCCTGTAATGCATCCATGGAATGCATATCTTAAAGAATTCTAGGCCAGGCGCAGTGGCTCACACTTGTAATCCCAGCACTTTGGGAGGCTGAGGCGGGCGGATCACAAGATCAGGAGTTTGAGACTATCCTGACCAACATGGTGAAAGCCTGTCTCTACTAAAAATACAAAAATTAGCTGGGCATGGTGGCACATGCCTGTAATCCCAGCTACTCAGGAGGGCAAGGCAGGAGAATCACTTGAACCCAGGAAGTGGTGGGCAAGGCAGGAGAATACTTGAACCCAGGAAGCGGTGGTTGCAGTGAGCGAGATTGCACCACTGCACTCCAGCCTGAGGGACAGAGCGAGACTCCGTCTAAAAAAAAAAAAGAATTCTAATATTAGTAATAATGATGATAATTATTGTTTGTTCTAGTCACCTCATTCTCAATCTGGGAGGAACATCCAGACAAGTTTGGGAAAGCAGAGTGATACCAGCAGGGCCCAGGCGAGGAACTCAATGCCAACCCTACATTTATATGACCCTAAAATTGACACCTCCCTAGATACATTTAAATTGTGGTAAAAGGTACACAACATTTACAATTTTAACCATTTTAAGTGATTTACCATTTTGATCATTTTTAAGCTCTGTAGCACGTTGTACATTTACTTTGTTGTGCCTCCATCACCACCATCCATCCCCAGAACTTTTACATCTTCCCAAACTGAAAGTCTACCCGTTAAACAATAACTCCCTGGCTTAGTCCATTTTGTGTTCCTGTAAAAGAATTTCAGATATTGGGTAATTTATAAAGAAAAGAAGTTTATTTAGCTCATATTCTGAGAAGTTCAAGGGCATGGCTCTGGCTCCTGGTAAGGGCATCACTGCTGCCTCACAATGTGGCGGAGACAGTCAAAGGGGAAATGGACATGTGTGAAAAGGGCAAAACCCGAGGGGCATCCTAGATTTATAACAAGCCATTCTCATGGAAAAAATCCATTTCTAGAGCTTACTGTCACAAGAACAGCATCAAACCATTCTCAGGAGATCCATCCTCATGACCCAAACACCTCCCACTAGGCTCCCACTCCCGACACCAACATACACAGGACCAAATTTCAACATGAGTTGCGGTAGGAACAAACAAACCATATTGAAACCATTGCATTCCCCACTGCCTCCTCCCCCAACCACATGACAAGCACCATTCTACTTTCTCCCTCTATGAATTTGACCTTCTAGGTTTCTCATGTAAATGGAATTATGCAGTATTTGTCTTTTTACAACTGGTTTATTTCACTTAGCATAAAATGTCTTCAAAGTTGACCCGTGTGGTAGAATGCATCAGAATTTTCTTCATTCTTAATGCCTATGTATAGGCCACATTTTATGTATCCACATTCATCTATCAGTGGGTAGCTTCCACTTTTAGGCTATTGTGAATAATGCTGCTATAAACATGGGTGTACAAATGTCTCTTCAGATCCTTGTTTTCAATTCTTTTTTTTCTTTTTTGAGACAGAGTCTCGCTCTGTTGCCCAGGCTGGAGTGGCTTGAGTGCAGTGGCGTGATCTCCGCTCACTGCAAGCTCTGCCTCCAGGTTCACACCATTCTCCTGCCTCAGCCTCCCAAGTAGCTGGGACTACAGGTTGCCCACCACCATGCCTGGCTAATTTTTTGTATATTTAGTAGAGACGGGGTTTCACCGTGTTAGCCATGTTTTCAGTTCTTTTGGGTGTGTACCCAGAAGTGGAATTGCTGGATCAGATGGTAATTCTATTTTAATTTTGGGGGGAACCACCATATAGTTTTCCAAGGCAGATGTACCATCTTCCATTCCTACCAACAATGAACAAGAGTTCCAATTTCTCTCTGTCCTTACTAACACTTGTTATCTTGTCTTTTTTAAAAAAAAATATATAGTATCCATCCCAATGAGTGTAAGACAATATCTCACTGTCATTTTGATTTGCATTTCTTCTAGTTATTAGTGATGTTGAACATTCTTTCATGCATTTGTTGGCCTTTCATGTATCTTCTCTGTAAAATGTCTATTCAAGTCCTTTGTCCATTTTTAATTGGGTTATTTGGGTTTGTTGTTATTGTTGAGTTACAGGAATATTTTACATATTTTGGATATTAACCCCTTATTAGAAATATTGTTTCCCATTCCATGGATTGCCTTTTCACACTGTTTATTGCGTCCTTTGATGCACAGAGATAATCCCTTAAATTTTACACCCTAGGGCCTCTCTTGCTTCACCCTACTCCTGGCCCGGAATATAGCCCTTGTCTCTTCCACAAAACATTTCACAAACTTCTAGTATTTGAAATGACAGAGATTACCCTTGGGTTTCTGAAAGTTTAAGCACAGAATTTCATTCTTCCATCTGAATTCCTTTGATAACACGGGAGATTCAAATTTAAAAGTTGTTTTTGAAGCATAACCCGGCCTATCCTAATTGTTACAAGAGATCAGCAGCTTCAAAGAAGGTTTTCTGAGAGCACTCCCATTGTGCCATCCCTCAGTGGAGATGGAAGCTTTTGAACTCTTGTCAAATATTACAATATGCCAAGCACTGTTCTGTATCCTTTACATGTGTTAACTCCTGCAATCCTTACAACAGCCTTAGAAGGTGTATGCTATTTGGATCTTCACTATACACATTGAGGGGATGGGGACAGAAAGGTTGACGAAATTGCTGGAGGTAACATAGCTACTAGGTGGCAGAGCTAGGATTTGAATCACAGAAGCCCGGTTCCAGATTCTGTGCTCCTAACCAATGAGGAACTGTAGCTGATGCATCAGCTTCCCCACATTTAATTTTTAAAAGTTATTTCAGACTTTGGCACCTTCCAGTGCAGTTGGTTTCCAGCAAACTGCATTTTTAGGCTTCACTTAGACATCATGGCTCTTCTCCTAGCATTTCTTTTTCTTCTCTTGGCTTCCAGAAATGACTTACAGCCTATCCTCACATAAGCAAGATCTGAGTCTCCCTGCAAATCCATGCATTCCTGCCTAACACTCTATTTATGACTATATGCATGAGTGAAAATCAGGGCCAACAGTTAAATCCTAGGCATGTTGTATTAGGGCAATCACGCTCCATCTCTGCTCCCTCATCCCAGCAGACTTGGAGAGCTAATGGAAAGCTGCACCCGATTCTTAGATCCAAAAAAGCAAACCCCACTTCTCTGGCTCAGAGCCAGCAAAATGAATTCCTTAATAGCAGGTTTGATGTCTCAGAAGGCCATACCTCTCAGGGAAAGGGATCATTCATGTTCCCACATACTCCCTTTAGCTAACAATGTGTTCTATGTTCTCGCTCTCTTTTTTTTTCTTTTTTTTTTTCTGAGACGAAGTTTCACTCTTGTCCCCCAGGCTGAAGTGCAGTGGCATGATCTTGGCTCACTGCAACCTCTTCCTCCCAGGTTCAAGTGATTCTCCTGCCTCAGCCTCCCAAGCAGCTGGGACTACAGGCCCGAGCCACCATGCCCAGTTAATTTTTTATATTTTTAGTAGCGACAGGGTTTCATCATGTTGGCCAGGCTTGTCTTGAACTCCTGACTTCAGGTGATCCACTTGTCTCAGCCTCCCCAAGTGCTCGGATTACAGGTGGGAGCCACGGTGCCCAACCCTATGTTCTCTTCTATTTTTTCACCAATGTTGACTGTTAATGGGTTAGGTAAAACAACCCAGCCCAGCCCATCAAACAGCATGTCTTATGGAATCAAGTTGATTTACCCAGAAAAGCCTCACTTACTTAGGTTTGTGGGAATACTACAGCTGTTGACAAATGTCCCTGATAAGGATTCTTTTCCCCTGCCTAGGTTCCAGTACCTCGTTGATCCTGATGAGAAAATGGCTTGTTTTTCTCCTCCTGCTCTAATCACCATGATTTCTTATTTCCTGCAGGATCCTGTGGCTCTACTTTGAGACAGGTACCTGGGTGTATCCTATGTTTGCCAAACTCAGCCTCGTGGGTCTAGCAGCTTTCTTCTCTCTCGGCCACATCTTCATCGCCAGCATCTACCTACTTGGAGAGAAGCTCAACCACTGGAAATGGGGTCAGTGTATTTCTTTCTTAGCTACAGATGCGCTTCTTCCGTGCCCGCATCTCCACTTCGCCTGGAAACAGAAAGAAAAACTAACCCCAAACAGAAGCGATGATGCTTACTATCTTTGTCCAAAGGACTCAGACAGGTTGTGCCAAGGCAGGCAAGAGGACAGCGTTGGGGGTGGGGTACTCTTTTAAAGGACCTCATCAAAGGATCTCCTCTCCTCCCCCAAACAATGCATCATTTAACTTTAAAGCTGAAAATAATCTTCTTTAGAAAGCCCGGGACCTAGAGCACAAGGTATTACCATCCCTAGCATGAATAAATAAAATGAGGGGTCTCCCCCTAATCCAAGTGAGGGTTCCAGGGACACAAGCTTTGAAAATATCAAGATTTCATTCTGAAGGAAGTAAGTCCAGATAGTCCTCTCAGCTCCTCCCACCTCAGCAGTGCCTCATTAGGCTGCTCCTCAGCCTTCCATAAGACATTTACCAGATGAAATCACATTCTAGACTTGAGACTGAAATCCTCATTCAGACAGTCTTCAGCAATGAGAATATGTCAGTAAGTTAAACTTTCTCATTATAGGTGGGTAGAATCCTGTTGCTTCTTCCTAAGAGAAAAAAAAAATCATCTTAGTTACTTTTAAAATGGAAGATTTCATTCTCCTTCCTGCTTCCTCTCTCCCCACCCCACCCCAGAATATTTTTTTATTGTTGGAAAAGTAACTACCAGAAAGTCAGGCTGCAAAACACCCATGACTTATTTCCCTACCCCAGGAGAAGCGCAGGAACTCTACCCTGATTCTGTATATAAGGAAGGCAAAGAGTCACACCCAATCCCCCACATCACTCGCCCACATGCCATTCTGTTCTATCAAAATAGAGATGGCAGAAGTGCCATCTTCCGCCCAATCTATGAACTGGTGTGAAAACATAAGCCCGTGTATGCAAAAAAACCTGACAGTTTCAGAAGGTTCAGTACCAGAGTGTGTGTTTCTGAGAGGAAGCTGAGACCCTGGAGAAATAAGCATGCAACTTGGATGTATCACGTGTTTTCTACTCTTGGAGAATTTGACTAGTTTAAGAAACTCTCAAGGGCAAAATTCTCTTTGAAAGCAAACACTTAAAAAAATGGAATACTAAAAATTACTTCCCAATCAGGATTCCAAATCACAGAAAATTATCGCCAAAAAAAAAAAAAAAATGTGTTGACATTTCAGATGTGTTGACATATAATTCTAACTAGTTTTGGCTCCTTGAAGTTCTGGGTAAAGATTTCTGATGCCTTCCCCAAATCTCTCTCTCTCTCTATATATATATATATTTAAAGAAGCTTTAAGATATTAGAAGTACAGAGAAAAACTTGATTACTTAGAGCTTAGAGAACAACAACTTTTAAAATCAATTGTTCAATAATGTATTGAGTTCAATAATGTATTGAGTTAATTTTTAAATTGTTACTCTACGGTGAATTTTAAACATCCATTGAACTAAAAAACAAAATTATCATCATATTTGTTATTATTGAAATTACTATTCTCAACACAAAGTGCTTAACAAGCCTCATTGTTTAAGGACTGCATCCAATTTTTAACTATAATTAAGTCCCAATAAATAGATAAGCCGGCATCAACATATAGTCCCTCAATTACCTGCTGTGCATGCAAGTTTTCACGTAAGTGAAAGAGACAATTGTAAATGACTGTGCTCATCTCTCGAGCTCTTTCTAGATTTTTAACTTTTTAAAGAAGAGAATGAGTAAAAGGTACTATTTAACATCAGAATAAGATCATAAAAGTATTAAATCTTGAACAGATCTTTATTAATTATGAATGATTTAATAAGAATTAAAAGAAAAATTAGATTTGTTAAAGTTGCAATGCAGTGAACACTTTTACATTGCTGAAAGCTAAACAACCTATGTGAACACATTTCCCCATGTCCTATTCTACTGGAAACACTTTAAGGCTTTCCTCAATTTACTGAAGAAAATCCACACCCTTAGAATGACACACAAGGGCCTCTGTGACCCAGTCCCTGCTTTGGCTTTTGCTCTTCTATATTTGTGCCGCAGTGGCACCAAACTGCTGGTTTTCCCTCCACATTGATGTTGTTTCTTATGTCCATGGGATTCTGTGTCTCCTATCCTTCAGTCTTTGCCTGGCTCATAGTCATTCATTTCAACACTCACCTCTTCCAGGAAGCCTTCCCTGGTCAGCCCAGGTTGGACTTCATGTCCTTCCCAGTGCATCCCCCTTTATCTCCCAATCACTAGACTTACCACTTTATCATGACTGCTTTAGGGATTTGTTTTTCCACTAGATCTCAGGTGTCTTACGGATTAGGGATACGTCTTGTTCATCTTAAAATTCCTCATTTCCATTAGCTTTCTCATTGCATCAGTCCGTGCAGACAATAGGATATCCGAGGACTTTTTTCCCTAGGTGTAAAGTAGAACTTTTGCAAAGGTGTTCTGGAGATGGCAGATAAGGAGTGACTCTAATGACTGTAGAGTATTGGGCGGGGAGTTTAAGGAGTATAGGAGGGTGACGACAAGGTGTACCAGTTAGAGAATTGTTGAAGACATGCATGTTAGGGCAGAAAGTATTAAACAAGGGAAAGAGCACTGGAGTAGGAATCAAGAAAGCCAGGGTATGTCCCTCACCTGGCCGCAAACCAACCATGTATCCTATGGCGATGCACTTCAATTCCTCCGTGATCAGGCAGCCTCTAAGTAGAGTGGCCACCAAGCCCAGGAGGCCTGAGATGGTCCCTGTCTGTGCCTGCTGGGCCAGTGTTCATAAGGTTTGATGTCATCTTGGCTTGGGCACTCCGCGGTCTGGTTCCCCTACCTGGGAGCCTTTCTCCAGATCTTCAGTTCTGGAAACTTACAGATAGCCACATATTCTGTCCAAAGCTAGAGCTAAGCTATGTTTTCTCTCCTTCCACAGCCTGATCCCCCTTCAGTGAGAGCAGAAATTCAAATGAATGCTTCAGGGAGGCAGTTGGGGGCTGTGGTTAGAAGAAAAGTTCTGGTGCCAAACTGCCTCAGTTTCTATCTTGGCCCTGCCACTTGTACCTGTGAGACTGAGTAAGTCACTAAAGGTCTCTGTGCCCCAGCTTTCTCTTGTCCTAGTGGAAATAATGCTGGTGACCTCCTCCTGGGCTCACGGAGAACCTCAGATGACTTGCTGAGGATCTAGCGCCTATAGCAGGACCTGGCATACAGCGTTAGTCACTGCTGCTGGTCATCTTATTCTCCCTCATTCTCCCCTTCGAGTTGATGTATAAATTACCAGTTTCCCAGCTGAAAGTGAATAAAGCTAACAGCTACCTGACAGCAGATGGACAGAGATGAAGCACGTCCTCAGGTACTTACAGCGAATAGGAGGTCAGGCTATTGGAGGCTAGAATCTGTTGGAATCTCTGCTTCTGAAATCCTGAGACAGAATTGGAATCTCTGCTTCCAGTGGCCCAATTGAAAGTCACCAGCCAAGCACCACGTGGTCAAGAATATCAGGCGAAGTATCAGTCAAGAGTCATTCAATGTGACAGGATCTCTCCAGCAGTAGTTCTCTACCTTGGCTTTTTACATCACAGAAACACTAGGGGAGTTTGAAAAATAATAATTCTCAGGCCCACCTTAGACCAATTAGATCCATATCTCTAGAGATGGTGACTTGACATGGGTATATTTTAAAGCTTCCCAGTTATTTTAACTTGCAATCAGGATCCAGAGCCGCTGTTACAGAGCATTGCTTCTCAAACCTGGGCCGCTGATTCTCATCAAAATGAGGATCTTGGGGAACCCGGAGATCTTGTTAAAGTGTGGATTCTGGTTTAGTGGATCTGGGGTGCAGTTTGAGATTCTGCCCTTCTAACGCATACTCCAGACATACCGATGCTGCTGGTGTGAGGACAAGACTCTATTACATCTGGGGACCCTGGTCTCCTCCCAGTGCAGATAATTCTGTCTACGGCATCCTTGTGCAGTGTGGTGCTGTCCTGAGTGGGCTGCTGGACTGAGAAGGGTGTTGGTGGTGATGGTCACAATAGCTGAATATCTACTCACTTTGTCTCTCCTCCTGTACCACATCAGTGGGTGAATATGGACAGGAGAGCAAGAAGGACAGCAATAGGAAACAATACTGAGAATCACATCTTAACTTGGAAAGTGTATGATGAGGTCCTCCCAGGGTGCGCAGTTACAGGGAACTGGCTTTGAGCATCAGGGAGGCAGGCGTTGTGGCCCACAGGAAGGTCCTTCAAGAACGCACTGAGGGTCAAAAAGCTCACAAGAGGTTCCGCAGGGCTCCCTGGCCTGACCTGTCACCATCTCCCTGCCCTGTGCTAGCCTTTCTGTGTCATGAGGCAGAGGGTTGGGCAAGCACAGAGTCAGTTACTGGGACCAGTCATCCCCCCAGAAAGATTCAATTTCTACTTTTTGGGAGGAGTTAGATGAAATGTTAACTTCAAACCATGATAGAGGCAGGCAGGAGAAGCTGTCTCTGGCAGGACATTGTGAGCTTGGCTCACCATGACTATGACTGAACACCCAGGCATGCCCGGGGCAGGTTCTCTTCCATATTGACTCGGGGCAAGAGGCAATCAGGACATCCTATCAAAGGCTCCCTTCTCTGCCCCTTACATGCTTAATTTTCTTTTTCTTTTTTTTTTTTTTTTTTCCTGGATGATTGATAGCACTCAAGGATGCTGACACCAGGACACAAGCCCCTTGGGAAGAGAAAATCATCCCACAAGAGATATGGGGCACAGAAAGGGGCTAAGCACCTTAGGCCCAAATGGCAGGGCCTCTGCTATGTGGGGGTGGTTGGAGAGACAGTCAGCTTACCCAGGGCCTGCGACTCCTCTCCCTATGCCCCTGATGGACACATGCCACCGGTCAGGCCGTCCTTTGTCAGGGCCCCTAAGACCATAGGTCCTTCTCATCCTAAGGACAGACTGTAAGCTGAAAATTCCAGCCTGGCTAAGTGGCGCTGGTATCGTGTCTTGGACAGAATGATATTGAAGCTTGCTTTTAATATTATTTGCCATATACCAGGTTTTTTAAAAGGGAGATTTTCTTGGTGAAAGCTGCCTAGAGGCCATCTAGCCCACCTCCTTGTTTTATTCACGAAGGAATTGGATGAGGTTTGTCTTATTAACTCTGCTTATTCCACAACAGAAGAATTTTATCATGCAATGACTCCACAGGTACTTTAAAGCATGGTCCCGCTGGGGCAGCATTTGGACAATGACAGAAAGTTATCTCCCTTTTGCCTTTCTTGTCCTAACTTCATTTCCCTAAACTCAAAAGGAGCCCGCTCTGGATTACCATTCCTCCCTCTTCCTCAGCCTGTTTCCCACAGGGGTTTCTCCAGCCAGCCCTCAGCTCCCTCTCCTCCCTGGACTTCTGCAGTGTGAACGTAGGATTATCAGTGCTCAGACCTCATTTCTCTAACACCTGCTAATCAAACTTCTTGTCCTTTTCTGAGTCAGGCCACTGAAAACCAGGCCAATGTTCTTCAAATTTTCAATTCCTGGCATTCATTTCTGTGGTTGTAGATACATAGGTGTAAATCTTTGGGAATAGTATGTTTTTATTTATCCTGAGTTCTAACTATTGGAATAATAAGGTATATAATTATATATGGTACCAACGGTGATGTTGATTGAAACAATAGTTTCTTGGCCATGCCTGCAGGAAATGTTCAGATCTTGCAAAGATGGAAGTTAGAATCTGTTGGAATCTCTGCTTCTGAAATACTGAGACACAGCTGGAATCTCTGCTTCCAGTGGCCTGATTGGAAGTCACCAGCCAAGCACCAAGTGGTCAAGAATATCAGGCGAAATATCAGGGTTATAAAAATATTTCTAGCCCTTGGTACTATCTAATAGAGGATAAAGGAATAAAACAAGTCAGGGTGAATCTAACTTACTGTCTGCCAACTAGGATACTTTTGACTGGGAAAAATGCTTCTCAATCAAGAAAATATTTATAATAAACATAATTTTCCAATTACAACTTAAAATCCATTTTGCGAATTTGGTTTGGGTAAGATATATGATCTATTATTAAGTCAACAGTTTCCTTATTTCCAGCTATGTATTATAGAAGCATGGTCAGAGGGCCAGGCACAGTGGCTCACACCTGTAATCCCAGCACTTTGGGAGGCCGAGGCGGGTGGATCACTTGAGCTCAGGAGTTCAAGAGCAGCCTGGATAACATGGTGAAACTCCGTCTCTACTAAAAATACAAAAAACAAAAAAAACAAAAAAAACAAAAAAAAAAAACTGGGTGTGGTGGCGCACATCTGTAGTCCCGGCTACTCGGGAGGCTAAGAGGTGGCAGAAATGCTTGAATCTGGGAAGTGGAGGTTGCAGTGAGCCGAG